GGAGGGGAGGGGAGAAGAGAAGAGAAGAGAAGAGAAGAGAAGAGAAGAGAAGAGAAGAGAAGAGAAGAGAAGAGAAGAGAAGAGAAGAAAAGAGAAAAGAGAAAAGAGAAGAGAAAAGAGACTCCAGGCAACAAGACCAGAAAGTAGAAGGTGGATTAAAGTCAGACCACAGAGAGAGAGAGTCTAGTGAACTTGTCAATTGAGTATAAAAGATGCTTAGAAAATGGGAAATCAAAGGAAAATTCCAATGTTTTTAGTCTAAGTGACCGCGCATATACCATATCCATGATTTAGAGATCTAAAGGAAGGATACATTTCTAAGTGCACATATTAGTGGGATCCAATTCTTATAATGTTTGAAAATTAGATACAGGGGAGCAGAGTACATTTATAATTTAACTCGAACGTACTCTTATGTCGGGGATCCTCAGTCTGAATCATGTTTTTGGAGGCTTTCTGGTAAACAGATGTAAGGAGCCTTATTTTGGAAAAATGAGACTTTGATTGGAGAAAAGTAATGGGGGGGGTGTTTCTCCATTAATATTCATTCCGGGACCCCACGGGGTGCAACCCACTTTTTAGTTCATACAGTGGTTTTTCACATTGACTATGACAGTAAAAATGAGCCAACCTGAGAGAAGGGTACCCTGGGACTGCCCTCAAGCTCAAATATGATTCAGGATAGCTTTCAGACAGAGACTCTACTAACCATTTATTTTAATATTTGTCTTGGGATTTTTTTTTAATTATCCAAATGTAAAACCCATGATGTAAAAACCCAGCTCATTTCCTGCGGAGCTCTGAGGCTCTGGTTGCCATCCTGCATGGAGAAGACAGGAACAAGATAAACCTCATCAGCTCAGACAGAAGGGACCTGCTGTGTTCCCCGACTCACACAATCGAATCTAAGCTGTAGCTTATGTTTCTTCCCCTAAAACTTCCCAGTAATTTTCTAAGCACTGATTTCTTTTTTCTGGAGAGAATATGAAGAGACAGAAGTAAATAATAAATAAAAAATAGCTGGTAATTATGGCAGATGATTATAATTACCTGAAGGTCCTGAAGATACATGCATGAGCGTGCATGTGCATGCGTGCACACACACACACACACACAGAGAGAGAGAGAGAGAGGGAGAGAGAGAGAGAGAGAGAGAGAAAGACAGAGAGAGACAGAGAGAGAGAGACAGAGAGAGAAGCATATACAGAGAGAAAGAAATACACAAATATACAAGCATACACATAAACACAAACACACTCAAAGAAACACACATGGCTCACCTATGTTAAAATACGAGTATATACAGATGCCTCTCAATTAAAATATTTTGTCTTGAAAATTCTCTTCTACAACTCTTAATCCTATCAAGTTGGTTATTTTTTCCCCAAATAATATTCCCCTTTATATCCAAGACTGCCTCAAGATTATAATTCTTCTGCTTCATCTTCCAGATGATCATAGGCCTCACCACAGCTACAGGCTTAGACTTTATTTATTTATTTTTTGCTTAATAAAAGAGTCATAATTCAATTTCAAATGAAGATCCAGTAATGTTCCTCAGCTCACTTTAATGATATAACCTTTAAGCCAATGAAGGCAGAACACAGTATCATCGTGGAAATAGGAAACACTTTATTTTGAAAACCTTGAACATCAGGGCTGAAGAGTGGTTAAAAACACTGTTCTTCCAGAGGACCAAGGTTCTAGTCTCCTCAGCACCCACATGATAGCTCACAGCCATTTATAACTCCAGTTCCAGAGGATCCGATGCCCTCTTCTGGCCTTCATGGGCACCAGGGACATATATGGGGCACAGACACAGGGAAAACACCAATGTACATAAAATAAAAGTCAAAATAATGAAAAAAGAAAACTTTGAGAGTTCTCACTGGTTTGTTGGTTGACTTGCAATCCTGAGTGAGCAATTTAGCGAGTCTCTGAACCACAGTTGTTCTAAATCTAATCTGACAGTATCTATTTCACAGGATGCTGGAAAGATTGGCTTGGAAACATTTTCAGCAGCTTGTATCAGTGCTAGAATATCCATAACCCTGTTCCTCAGAGAAAGTTGAGGCATTCTGTCCTCTTTTCCATAGTAACCACACCAGCAGGACACATGTGGGAAACATGAGAAAGGACTAAGTGTTTTAGATCATGTGTTGGTGTAGCATGAGAACGAAAATCATATGACCAAACTATTTCAATTACATTTTTAAAAGAATCATTCAAGGAGACCACTCTGCAGCTGACTTGCTTGTAGTGTAAGACGACCCTGGTTTGAAAGCCAAATCAAAGAGAGAGAGTCAAGAGAACTTGCCAATTGAATACACGAGATGCTGAGAAAATTGGGAATTCCCCAGCACCCATGTAAAAGCTGATGGGTATATTACCTCTCCAGTAATTTTAGCCTCCAATGGTGGAGACAGGATTCTGAGCAAGCCCACAAGTCACTACTCAAATCCCAGAGCTCTGCATTTGAATAAGGGCCTTGCCTAAATGAATTAATGAAGGAATTAATGAATTAATTCATTTCCAATGAAGGAATGCAAATGGTTTGAGGAAGTTTCCCAATATGACACTGTTCTCAACATATGCAGACACAAGTGTAAACACATGCGGTGCACACATGCATGAAAAAAAAAATCTACTTGATGTTGGATGATAATCCCTAAAAATATTTCACAGAAGAACCAAGAGGGAATAAATCCTCAGAGCTCTGAGGGAGCTCTTGTCATGGTGCACTGACTCTTCCACTCAAGTCTTTGATTGTTCAAATACACCTGTCCTGCCTTTCAGAATTGCTGTCTCCAGGAAGTTTATAGTTACTATCTGTCTCTTCCTCCATTTCTGTGTAGTGAACAACTCACTTAGGATACCTTTTAATTCTCCGTTCCTTTTTTGTCTTCAGGAGTTGTACGGACGTTCTATGCTGTATGATCTTCCTACTGTTCATTTTGGGCTACGTTCTGTTAGGACTCTTGGGTGAGTAACCCCAGGTATAGACGATATTTACCATTTGTTAGTGGGTTAAGCAAGCCAGTATCTCATTTTCATCAGGAGTGACTTTCTTTGTTATTGACTGTTGTCTCCTCGGGGCATATTTGTTAGCAGACACAGTACAAGATAAACATAGAACAGAGTAACCAAACCCAAGCCCAGGTTAAGTAGGCAAGATAGCAACAAAGAAGGAAGGAATTTTTACTTTTTTAATTCTCTTAAAGAGCTGATTGTATCTGTGCTGTTGCCTGCAGTAATAACTAGGGGTGAGGTTTATTTGGGTCATCTATAAACTTGTTTGTTCATAAACTAGCCAAGGATAAGGAACAGTGATTATGAATTTCACCGGGCAATTTATTGTTTAATTGAACCCTAGTCTCTGCCCTCCAAGAAAGAGACTCTTTGTTGTTGTTAGGTTCAAGATTTTTTTCTAGAATGCAAAAATAAAGAAGTCAAGCATGTAAAGTTTTCTTAAAGAAAACATAGAAAGAAAGCAAAAAACATCATATATTTTTCCTTTAAAATGTTTTACAGTTGTAGTAGTCAGTATACTAGACTGTTTCACCAAGAGGTATAAATCCTGCCTTCTGGGTATTGACTTAAGAAAATTTGATTTACCACCATTAGGGTAAGAACCATGGAAATCAGGTGTTAGCAGCCATAATTATGGACATGTGGTTATATGAAGAGACTTGTACTGTGCACAGAACACTATAAAACAGTTTGGTCTTCATTTTTATCCTCTAGTGAGAGAAGTGCCCTAAAGATGGCAGTAAAAAGTATCTCACGAAAGCTAATCTCCACATCACCATGCAAACTATTCAGAATCGGAGAATTCAAAATTCAGAACAGGAAAATAGGGAGAAGAAAAGTTTAACAGGAATTAACACAAAAGCAAATAATATGCTTTTATAAGGCTTGCAAAACATCTCTCTTAAGTATTTTAACCTTTGAACTTCTAAGCATTGTTTCGGACTGAACAATTGTTGAGGGTTGAATACTATGAAGTATTTTCATATACAAGTGGGATTTTAGCCTGTCTAAGTTCAGGACACACTTTCCTATCCTATTTGGCAATTTTTACTTATTGTCATAGTATTGAAATGTGTTGTGTAAGAGGGGAAGATTTGAAGCCAGGCAGGTCTAGATTCTTACACTGTTCAGTAGGGCAGAGACAACTGTTTAACTGCTTCCCTCATTGAGAAGAACGGAAACACTCCTGATTTCCAAGCCCAGTGGTGAGGGACAAGCAGCAATGTGTGCACACATCAGCAGTGCTAGTGAGAGTCCTAGATAATGCATGAACAATTTAGTTGTTCTAAATTGAAATCAGTTTGTTTTAAATGTGATTTACAGTGTTGTCTCTATTAAACCCCATAATTTTGGTTATTAAAGACTGAATGTACACAAGAACTCCCCAGAAGCTTCCTGCTATGAGAAGCTTTCCATGCCAGGCCTAACTCTACAGTAGGTTGAGTCTCCTCAACTCTAGGGAACTCCAAACTACCTATGTCCCTGGCAGCCTCAGCAGAAGAGCGTGCAACCATAGTTCCTTCTGAAGCAAGACAAGAATTCCACCACTTTGGTCAAGAGCTCCTGATTCAATTTGTAAATAGTTTAATTAGCATAAGAAATTGGGGGATAAATGTTCTTCAATCAAAGTCAATGTTCAACATTAAATTAATTCAACATTTCTTGCAAATTAATCCTGGTGCGACTGCCAGTATCAAAAAAGACTCAAGAAATTCACGAAATATCCACCTACTTACTTTATGCCTCAACTATAGCTGGCTTTGTTGGTTTGATTTCAAAACATAGTTTTAAACGCTGCTCTATTTAATGCTGGGCTGGAAGAAGACTGAAGGAATACAGTTGGTCAGGGTGACTGGAAGTGTTAAGAATGGCCTTAACCCTCTAGAATGAATGATTCCCTTGAGCAACCATGTTTACTGTGGTGGTGATGTCCTGAGCGCGGTAGTGCCGGCCGTCTCAGTTAGATCTTGGTCCTCGTAGATTATCTTTTATCTGTAATCTTCTCATGAGCGTCAGTATGTTTATTAGTTACTTTCTGGTGCTGTAATAAAACATCACACTCTAGGCAACTCACAGGAGGAGAGTTTATTGCAGCTTAGGGTTCCGGAGGATAAGGAAGTCCACTGCGGAAGTGAGGCGAGGTGTGGCAGCAGGAAGCAGAGAGCTCACTTCTCAGCACGAGCCTAAGCAGAGAGAAAACAGGAAGAGGCCTGGGGTTGTAAACTCTCAAAGCCCTTCCACCGGAACGGACTTCTTCCAACAATGATGCACCAGCTAAGCCTCCCCAAATAGCACCATCGTCTTGGGGTCCAAATGTTTAAATATCCAATCCTACGGGGAGCATTTCTCATTCAAACCATCATACCATGGGAAAGACATTTCTATTTCTCAGAAAAAAAAAAAAATTGTGAGGAAGACCCTGATCTTCATGCTTTGTGTGGATGTGGCCAGCAAGGGTAATACTTTCACATGAGATAGGCACTTAGCATTCTGCTGACAGAAAGAACCTCCGCTGGAGAGGATGGAGAGGTGTCTAAGTAGAAGGCACCCAAGCTGCTTGAGTGATCACATGACATTTATGATAATAGCCCTCTTCTTCACCGGAAGGGATGGAACTACAGTTGCTGTTCAGTCATTGCAGTAACTAGAAAAAAGGGAATAAAAATTCTTGTTTTACAGCTTGGTCTCTGTAAACCTTGGGCTAACAAAATATATATATCACAAATTTAACATTCAACAAATTTTTGGTTTGTTTTTCCAGTTGAATGGGTTAGTCCAGTACTTAAGAAGTACCTCAACTTGGGGCCCAAAGTCTGTTTTGGTTTTTGACATTTTCCAGGAGTAATCACTCTTATTAGCTGAGAAGATAGGAGTGTTCCTTCAGGGAAGCCCAGAAGTCTGTGGTCCTACTGTGAGGAACCCGAAAGTAATGAAAAGCTTTGGAGATGGGTGAGGGGGTCTGGATCTGAGCTGGGCACCCATGGTTAATTTCCTATTGGAAATTTCTGTCTGAGAAACCCCAATTGGAAGCTAAGCTTTTCTTCAAATTTCCAACTCCTCAGATTATGAGCAAAACACAAGCACATCAAGTCAGCATGCATGAAGAAAAACAACCAAGAACCTCCACCCTGGGAATAGCACCCAGGAGCCTTGCTTTATTGTTTCTTGGTGGAGCTGTCTTGGGGTATTTGTGTTGTGTTGACCAGGAGACCTAGGTGAGTAGGTGTGTGATCTATTTTTACAGTGAAATCTTAGAGAGTTTGAAGGATTGTCCCTTATATCGCTTAAAACAAATTAGTGTTTTGTTAATTTTGAGATTCAAAATTAACAAAACAAACAAGCAAACAAACAATTCCACCATTTTGGGCCAAATTTAAAGCAAGCTTTATTATAAATATTAAATATTGACCAAGAAACAGACTTTGGTCCGGACCATTCCTTGGGATTACCCAGCTGAATGGCCCAGAGGTCTATGTTGCAGGAGACAAACCAATAGGCCACCATATTTTCCCATGAACCCTTGTTATTTTCTAAGAACTACAACTCCCAGAATTCCAGAAAGTTCCCTGGTTCTTAGTCAGACAGGACCCTACGGGTTAATTCTGGGACTTACACTTTTTCCATCATAGGGAGAAATTTCCTAAACCTAAGTAAGGTCACTCACTCATGGACTGTTTTCAAAAACAAAGATAATTCTAGGATGACTTTTCAATTCTGTCTGTATAGAAAAGCAAGGGACTGTTTCTATTCAAATAAGTATTATTAACACTTCAAATTTTATTCATTTTATTTTTAGATTTATTAATGTAAATATTGTAGGTATTTGAGATGTACAACATATAGGGCTTTTAAGCTAGAAACTGAACCCAGGGCTCTATACATAACAAGAAGCATTCTTCCAACCATGCTATATCTCCAGCCCTAACAGGCATTTTGCTATTAACATATCTGTATAATTATTATCATAATTAATCTGATTAACATTCACCTCTTGACATAATTACCTTTTGTGAGGGGGTGAAAGCGCTTATGATGTGCTCTTGGAGAAGATTTCAAGTATGCAGTGCACACCCCATGCTGTACCTGAGTCTGTGCTGTGACTTAACAGCTCTGACTTGTTCCTGGCTCCTCCAAGCTCCTGTCATGCATGCTATGCTGAACTAAATCCCTACCCATTCCCTCTACCCCTGAAAGTTTATAAAAAGTCAGACTCTTCTTGTTCTAGAAATTGATACTAGGCTCTCCCTGGAGATGGCTCAGGGATTTGGTCTAGAGATGAAGGCTGCTGTCTGAAGAGGTTCCTCTGCTCCCTACCCAGAGATGGCCCTCTCCCTCACCCTCCCTTTGCATAATGGTACTCTTTGCCCTTCTCCCTCTCCCCTCTCTCCCTCTCTCAATCATGATAAAGCTCCTCTTGAGGCTTTGAAGGGAAGCTTCTCCCTCTCCTCCCTTTTAAAGTTCCATCACCTTTAGCTCTCCCCCACTGTGCTGTTTCTCTCCAATGTTCTCCCCCACCCACCTCAGGCCTTGAAGCCTTCCCATTCAGCTAAACCTCATACCTGAAGGGAATTATGAATGATGTGTCCTTCCTGGGCCAGCTGTTGCTGTCATCTCCTGTTTTATTTAAAATTTATCTCTCGATCTATGTCTTCCCTCTTGCCCCACCCACTCCTGGGTTTCTTCCCACTGTTCAGCTCTCTGAGTGTGAACGTCATTCTTGTCAGAGTTCACATTAGTGAGACCAACTGATAAATGGTTGTACCTGAGCAGTATCACTTAGCATTAGACCTCTGAACTTACCCCTGTTATCACACACAGTAGGAGTTCCCTCTTTACTTAATGGTGTTTTATGTGTATATAGGGTACTTATGTACCCATTTTCCTTACCCATTCATGTGACAGTGCTTAGATTGTCTCTGAGACGTGGATATTGTGACTTAACACTGCAGTCA